TATAAATAATATTTGATGAAAAACGACACGGTCTTTTGTGCAGAATTAATTCTTACAGTGTGAGAATTTGTCTTGCACGAGACGCGAGACTTGCCACGATCGTGGAAAACCTTTAGAACATTCGCCGGCACCGACAGACGTTTAAGTCTCCGAAAAGCAATTCTATTGAAAATGTACTCAATGTGAAATTCGTGAGGTAGACATGTGCCCTTCGTGTCTTCACCGGTCGAAAATCGCAGCGAAACAGCGCATGCATGCGTAGTGTTTCATTTGCGAGCCTGATATTATTTTACTTCTAGCCACACGCCTCCCCCATGTGACATTCAGACTGGCCGTACAGACTGCGTTGTTGCGATGGTTTTATTTTCGCGAAAGATTTATTCACAACAATGGCGATGCGTGATCAACAATTCGCACGCGCACGCGAATCTCGCGAGAAACGGCGAGACGCGCCGCGCATGCGGAGTTCGCTGCGAGCGCGTGAGTGAGTCGGCGCTGGTTTCGCGTGTTACTGAGTCCGGGGGCCGTTGTCAGAAACAAAATTAGTCGCAACATTACTCTTACCATTAACTTCCACTCGTAAACCGTTGACAGAAACATCGTAAGGTTACGAGAACGAAAAATCGTCTGTCTCTTGGGTGTGTGTGTGTAGCCACCGCGCGATCGATAGCGCGTCGAGTCAGCGAACGGGCGGCGCGATCGATAGCGCGTCGAGTCAGCGAGTGGCGAGTCAGCAGCAGCCACCAGTGAGCGGCGAGGCAGCAGCAGGCGAGTCAGTCAGCAGCCGCCACCAGCGAGCACATACATGTTACATGCTCGCGGAGGTATGCACTCTCCGTGCGTGCCCTCTGTCTAGTTCGTAATTCTAGCGCCTCCGACTCCCTCCGCGCTTCCTCGACCATGATGGTATAGACCTTGTATTATAGACTACATAATGATAGCGACATTGTACTATATAGAGACTAGCGGTAAGTGCTTCGCATGCGTCCCAGCGTCAAACACCGGCAGACATTTAAAGGACAGCGCAGCGCCCCCTTACACACACACACACACACACACACACACACACGCGAGCGATTGCATGACCTCCGTTTGCGCGGAGGTAATAATGGTAAAGCAGTAGTGTGGATTTGTAGAAGTGGATCAGAAGTAGATAATAGGGAACCTTACTATCCTACTATTATCCCAATATACGTGCCTATATCCCTATATTATCTATTTCTGATTTGTATGTTACATTGTTCCCACAAGTGTGAATTATTTTTTCAAGGGCATTTCAGTGACATGTTTTCTTCAAGGACAATCTGTGACAAGTAGTTTTAGCTTTTTAGAGTCATCGTATATACCTTAGATTCACATATAAAGTAAAAATTGTTGTTTTACACGAGTGCCGACAGCAGATTCAACAGCCGCTATACTAGCACGCCGACGTACACAATAGTCGTGTTATCTTGTCATTCACGTAGATTCATGTCGCAGTCCTTGAACAATATGTAAAGCTTTGATGTAACATGTATCACTCAGTATCACTCAGAAATTGTATTATAGAAATCACTCAGAAATTGCTCAACACTTGCATTTATCAGATTTTTTCTCCATGAAAAAGACTTCAATATCATCATTATCATGTATTTGTATTTGAATTACATGTAATGAACATTTAATAATAATAAGAAGCCGGTTCTTTATGCTGATCTTTCATCTGCTGTGATAGGCTGTAACATTAACCGTAAATAAAATCCAGATGAGACGGGATACCAGAGAAGTCTTCCTGACAGGATGTGCTGATCGTAACCGCTGAGCGGGGATCTTGCGCGCAGTTCCGCGGGAAGGCGCACGCGGCATCAAGAGTAGAGAGGGTGCAATGAACTCTCTCTATTATGTACTCTTGATAAAATCAAACTGCATGCAAACACTGATCTCTACTATACTAACGTTAGTATAGTAGAGATCAGTGCATGCACCAACCCCGTCGTACAACCATAGATATAGAAGAAGATATAGATTCTCATGATACAGAGCCAGAGCGAGAGCGCCATCTGTCGTGGAGTTTGAAATAAAAGTAATCACTTATTCCTTACTCCCCACTCGTGGATGGTATCGCCCATGACCAGTCAAGCATGGAAAAACTTTGGCAGGTAAATGGCCGTATTTCAGCCGAAACTTTTTCACTCACCGAGGCACAAAATTTGAATTTACGCCTATATTACACGCGCACGCGTGCGTGGGACCATACCCACGTGTGTGCGTCCGTTAATGCGTGTATATGTGTGTTTGTGTGACTATAAAAACGCGTATTATAGCCGTATAATCATATTTTGTGCTTTTGGGGGTGAAAAAGTTGAGACTGAAAACCGGCCATTGGCTTGGCTAACTTTTCACCGTGCAACTGATGCCGTGGGCGATACTATCCGCGAAAGGGGGCAGGGAAATACGGAGGGGAAGGGAGTGAGAGGGGAGGAGGAAGGAAATAAGAGAGAAAGGATAGAGGGACGGAGGGAGGGAAGAATGCAGAAGAAGATGTGCACACGCATGCGCAGTACACACACGCAGACAAACGCACGTACGGCACAAACGGCACACATATACAGGCACGGATACACATATTTATACATTATTACTGCTAGCTAGCTGCTAGGTACTCAGTACATGGTTCCCACAAATGTGTGAATTATTTTTTCAAAGACATTCAAGACAAAGGACTTTCGAGGGCTGTGGGGACCCTGCGTTAAACAGCTTGGAGGAAACAGTCGGACTTGACTTCATGTCATTCGGTTCATTAGTTTGTTACATCTGTGTCATGAGAAATCTTCCATGACTTTCCATATTCGTGATGTTTTACATCGTCTTCATGCACACACACATATCACATTTCACTGATGCAAAGATGATGTAGATTAACAAAATAACACATTCAAAAAATCAAAATTGTATGCTTCAAAAACCTGTATATATTAAATTACATTCACAGTAATCCATCCAGTTACCACTATCACAATTTGTTATTATGATCATCATATATGTATATATATATATACTTTTCCATATCATTAAGAATAAATTTCTAGTAAAAAATTAACAATCCACAATTAGAAAAATTTCAATGTAAACAAATTATTGTCATACCCTCGTGACATAGCTCATCATACCCGTACCGCGTGGTCATCTGTGCGCATAACTATGCTGCGTGTAAAAGTGTTGCATGCAATATGTTGCGTGCAAAATGTTGCATGCAAAATGTTGCAGTTGCGTTTAGAGATGCCGCTCGGTGGAGGCATACACGTCGTTCAAGCTTCGTACGGACAGCGCATGCTGCAGTCTCTCGGCTGTCATCGCCTCCCAGGCGATAAACTGCACCTCACGCGCTCTACTGGTCATCATGAAGCCGTTATCAGAGAAGCGCCCGCTACAGGCAGTCGCTTCCAACCACACGAACGGCGCCACGCTGTCTGCGGATAGTTGGATGTGGAAAACATTGCTGCTGCTCTCGCTCTGCGTAACACCAGTGACCTACAAAAGAAAACCAAGAGCAGATAACACGAAAATAAGAGTTAATATTATTAGCTCTTGATGAAACACATAGGTACGGACATAAACACATAGGTACGGACATAAACAAATGTAAACATAAACACATAGGTACGGACATAAACAAATGTAAATATAAACACATAGGTACGGACATAAACAAATGTAAATATAAACACATAGGTACGGACATAAACAAATGTAAATATAAACACATAGGTACGGACATAAACAAAGATATAAATATAACAGTCAATAGGTTACGGACTTAGTAAAAAAAAAAGCCGCCACTGTTGTTGCTGAACCAACACTAATCAACGTACGGCTCCCGCACTGGTAGCTGCGCTTACTGGGCTCCTGCTATCACCCAGGCCCCACTGTAGTTGCTGATTACAGCAACAACACTAATTAGTTATACATACCTTAGCACCTATGATAGATACAGCTCTCACCGGCTTACGCTGGAGCGGACATAACTACAGCAACCGTGCTCACACAACTTACCATAACAACGAGCCACCTACCTCTATCGCACCGTAGCAGTAACACAAAAAATGGTAGGCACACATTAAACACTATATATGATATGATGACGGACAAACAGCAATGGTGACCGAACGTTACCTACATACAGTAGGCGGCTACGGAACTGATAGACGAACAATGTTAGATGAGCTTGAGCATCCACATTCATCACGTGATTAGACGGGAGCGTATCAGTATATACATACACTAATATATTAATACAACGAGCTATATCAGACTATATCGAAGAGCTAGAAAATATATATAAATACAAAGAAGGAGAGACACGAGCGCGAATATGAGGAACGGCAACAAGACACGCGAGAGCGACTATATCCACATTCAGAAATGGCTAAATGCCAGCAAACACATAAGCATCGCGACAATAAACACAAAATAAAGTATCGGAAGCACACATAGAGCGTACCGTTGACTATAAAATACTATATTATATATCAGAATATTACGAACCCACATAGCCAATCCTGTACACTAGAGAGCTGGAGAGATATGCGATTATAGAATATAAACATAAAGAACGATTATAGTTTAAAGCTGAGAGCAAAACACAACGTCACACATAACACACGCCAAGATTCGAACATTTAAACTGACACTCTGCAATATTAAATAAACTAGAAGTGCAGGAGTCCGTAAAACTACAGCCAAAAATGCCTCAGAATATTTTCTGAGCACCGATATTCTTAGATGATTATTCCTCAAAGCTGTGATCTACGTATTCCTCATATGCGTACGAGAACTAAAACTAGAGGCTACAGACTACAATTGATAACAACCATCTTGTAGCGTACGACACATGCATAAGCATTATAGATGATAATAATACAACGAGACACAATGACGCAAGTGAAAGCACAACATAGAGTGATAAAGTAAAAACACCACTAGGTGAAGGAATATAACGAGAAAAATATTAAAAGATCTATTAGAACTCACACAAATCACGAAGGATACAGCGCGTACATTATAACACACATATAAATAAGTTAGATCACATTACTATGAGGTTCGAGAGGCGGAAATAGAGAGCAGATAGCAACACAATCAGATTTACGGCGCTTGGTGCTAATGACACATGATGTTACTTATGCCTCTCCAAGTTCTCTAATATGGATATTATAATTAATAGCGAATTAATTCTATAGAACAACGAAAATAGCGAGGCTATAAATCACACAAATCAGATAATCCAGCATATATGTAGTCGATGAGCGAGTGCATCTACTACATACGACATTAGATCTCTATCTCACACAGTTTAACATAAATATTAATTAAAATATAACATACGATAGTATATAGCTTCAGTTCTTCTCGATGAACAACACTACACAGCAGAGACTAGAAATACAAATATAACACACTGAGGACTGAGCGGACAATTAAGAGATCCAATTAATGTCTAATTATAAACTGAGACAACTACGCTTACGGCTACACCAAACATCAAGACTAGTAGAACAATTACTATCAGCATACACGCGCTTACTGAACATAAAATACATATGTGGCACAAATGACTGATATCACAGAGAGCGTCACATGACACTGGCATAACAGCAAGACTGCCAGCACATTCTATAGCATACTCTTGTTAGGGGTCAGATCCACTGCATGAACTCATCCGCGTTGGCATCAGTATCGCAGCAAGTGCTGAAACTAGAGGAGGCTATTTTGCGCTAGAATCCTTGCCCACGCGCGCCGGCGGGATAATGGTCGGTTATCGGGGATACTAGTTTGTTGCGAGCAAACGCAACTAGAATGTGCGTGGACAAAACCCACTTCTGCGTTAGAGAGCGAAACATTGCTTCGAGAATCGGTGCGGACCTATGGATCGACTCACACGAAGCCCACACAACAGTCACTAGCACAATCGAGACATCGAACCTGTGTGGAGCGCAACAGAGCTATCGCCACAGACATAGGAGATGGGCGTGAGTAATTAATGGGTCAGAGCCAACATCACCAAAACCAAATTAATGGTGCAGCAGTGCACACTAATAAGAATTGCTCCCTAGGGTCCATCTGTTACGTGATGCACAGTGGTACGAGCCGAACGTGCGATTATACGTAAAGCGACGTTACAGCACGGGGGGGGAACACTATCCCCAGGAGCGCGACGAGCGGTTAGAGTATCTCACTTGACGTATTGTCCGATCGACTTAGAGTCGCTACGCATGCATTCAATCCCGCGAGAAGGGAGCAAGAGAGATAGCGCGCGGGATACTCACGCGAACGTGGCTCCCTCGGGCGAACGAAGCTGAAAGCTAACGAAGCATTGCTGTCTGTGGGCATTTGCGTAGACAGCCTCTCGCTGGAACACTAAGAGCAGCACCCTGAGGCGGACTCAACTCGGAGGGACCCGTTCATATAGACGACACGAAGTATTCAGACGGTAATATGAATCAAACGTGCGTCGTTCTCACAGTGAATATACATGGCGACTTGTATGACAGTGCGTTGACATCATGCCTCTCCAGAGTAGCGCTCTTATGACGCGCGTCGATCTTCGTTAAGGAGCTCTCGTCTCAATGTCTATCAGCTGCTTGCTCACTTCGGAGTGGTATCAGGCGACACCGGAGTCTCCCGAGTACGAGTGGCGCATTGTCATATAGTGACGCGTTATCGTCAAGCAATTACCACGCAGTAAGGTAAGGTAAGGTAGGTTAGATTGTTAGCGTGTAAGCACAGCGTTCACGTGCGTCCCATCAATCGTATGAGCTCTTGAGCTGAACAGTCTAGCTGCTAGAAGCGTTAGCGTGCTAAGATCATGTTAATCTAAGAGAGGTAGTGTATAGCACAAGTTCATACCGTAGCCAGATACGCCATAAGCTATGCATAACTATGAATGTAAAGTTATGATATCGAGTCAATGGTAGCATATACTAACTCACCGTACTCATAAGTAATAGGATGTAATGTTTCATGAGATTAGTGGTAATGCACATAGACACAATACTAAAAACCGACTATCAACAGTTTAATCTAGTATCGATTATAGCTATTATACATTAGGGACACAGAAGTTACACATATCTAATATGTATACTGTAGAGGGAGTGTGAGTAGCAGCTTCAATGACACTTGCTTCGAGCCCACCGATTCTTAAGGTGATAGTTAATTCGTATGATATGGGTGTAGTACGAGCATTACTCTAGGGCGCCATAGCAAAAGAGATTTTTTATTGTCCTACCGAGATGTCATGCTATAATCTATTCAGCCAGTAGTCAAGTTCACATTGAGAGTCACGCAATTGTGATATGTCCTGTACAACGACAGTATGTGAGTCAGGGCGCTTAGACGATTTTCTGAACAAAAAAGGCATGATATGAATTAAATTTGTTCATGTTGTTGCTTATTGATTTTAATTGTTCACTAAACTTGTAATATAAGTTTGTCATAAGTACATAGGTATACATACTATTCACTGAGTTTAAGTGCTATAGAGCAAACACTATGATTAACCATCCTGTCTCTATCGGAAGTAGACAACTAGAGCGATCAATGGGACGCTATCACGAGCACACGCGATCGAACTACTTCTAGACTGAGCTCGCGCGCACAGACGTTGAATTGCCCAGTAATGACGTTGCGAACACTTGATGTGTAGCTTGACTAACAACTATCACCTAAATTACCACTGCATAAATACACTAAGAATAACACATAAAATAAACAATAAACAAAAATAACAAAACAATAATAATAAACAATAAACAATAAACAAAAATAACACAAAAACACTATAAATGCTTACCATGTTTACATCAATGTTCAGTTCTCGCACCACGTCAAAACTATCCCATCGCCGCAGTTGAACTGACAGCGACGCCACCAGAGGGCGCTGCAAGTCGGATATGGCAAACACACGCAGGTATGAAGTTTTGCCATCGATCAATTCCTCGAAGGGAGAAACGATGACGGGGTCGAAAAATCGCACCGCGTAGTAATGCAGCATTTTCCACTTGCCTCCATATTCTGCAAAGGTTTTGCATTCAGTTAATTTATAAAACCATATTTTTATTGTTATTCCATACATCTCTTGCTGTAGTCTTATCATACAAGCTTTTAAAATTGTTACCACCTTTCGAGTTTGCTTCTCCCACAAAATAGACACCAGAAATCTTTCTACAAGTTCCTAATCATCCTTACATGTCAAACTTTGACATGCCACAGTAATCATATGTAGTTAAACTTGCCTATCGAAGACCATGATGCACCTTGCCATATGTCATTTAGCTGCCAATAGAGGGCGCCCATTGTGTTGGCATCTGTTCCTCGGCCACGGCGGTAAAATTCCGTCTCGGTTTTGATGCTCATGGCCTGATTCACCTGCAGATGACAAGGTATAGGTTCGCTAAACGAAACAACATCCAACAACGATGCACCATTTCTCATTCTATAAACCTTCCGTGAGACTTTTCACCAGGAAGAAGGAGAAACCAAGAAAGAAACCAAAAAGACCAGGCAGGGAAATTTCCTCGGACAATTGTAGAACTTTGCTGATAAGAAGAGCCTCGTGTCTGTGCTACGTTTACGTGTGTGATATTGCAGCAACTTATACGACAAAGCGTGAAACACACCTGCGTCATATATAGCGTGTCGAGAAACGTTTGCTTAGGCTGTGGGCACGTCACGAGAGACTCTGGCAGGTCAAAGTGACGTACGATCTGAAATAGCATCTTCAAGTTCCCTGAAATGCAATCACACACAAACCAAATTTTTCAAAATAAAAGTTTCCATGTGTAGCAAATCGAATACAAAGTAGGATGAGTCATCGCATTCATCATCAACGCTGATATGCTACGATGCTGCTTATTCAATAAGAAAGAAATATATCCTACCTACAATATGATGCTGCTTACGTAATAAGAAAGACATATATATCTTACCTACAATATATCATTGTTTATGCAATAATAAAGACATATATATATATCCTACCTGCAATATGATGCTGCTTATGCAATAAGAAAGACATATATATCCTACCTACAACATGGTGCTGCTTATGCAATAAGAAAAACAGTTATATCCTACCTACAATATGATGCTGCTTATGCAATAAGATATACTTATATCCTACCTACAATATAATGCTGCTTATGCAATAAGAAATACATATATATCCTACCTACAATATGATGCTGCTTACGTAATAAGAAAGACATATATATCCTACCTACAATATGATGCTGCTTACGTAATAAGAAAGACATATATATCCTACCTACAATATG